AAAAAAAAAAAAAAAAAACCAAAACATCCAGGTCTTCCTGGGGTTTTAGCCTGCAAGCCGTACGATCTGTTTTCTTCTGCAATAAAACTTGATACTGCTGTAGAGACACAAACATACACAGGAGAAAACAGGTGCACATGCACACACACATATGTGCACATAGAGATGAGGTGACAGAGACCATGAGCACTAAGACATGGAAATAGGAAACTGTACTTTCAATATGTTGGTAGTTACAGTACAATCAACAAAGATTTACATATGGAATTATGCATTATGTGGTAGTTAAGGTTGTGTGTCAACTTGACTGGGCTGTGATTTTGAGTTGCATGCCAGCTAGATGTAGTTAGTCCCCATGATGAGATTGGATATAGTGTAGTCAACTCCATGGGGAATTTACTGTGAGACAATAATCAGTGGAAAGGGAGTTGCCTTTGGGGTGTGGCCTACTTCCAGAATATAAGGAGAAGTTTTGAGGAAGGTCTCTAGTTTGGGGCACAATTTGAATTCTGTGTATGCCTGAGTCTTCATCTCCAATTCCTGTACTTGAATCTGTGGCCTGCCATGTTACCTTCCTATCTTGGGATTGTTCCTGGACTTGAACCAGTGATCTACCCTGTTGTTTACCAAGCTTGGGATTGTGCCATTTTTCCTGCTGACCTTGGGTTCATCAGCCTCAGCAGCCAGCAGCTGTCTGAGTTAGGAGACGCCTCTCGTTTCAATGGGCCTGAATAAGAGGCAGAGCTGAAGCCCAAAGTCCAGGGGCCTTCACCCAGCCCCTAGAGCTGGCACTCTGAATTTGTACTTCTAGCCTCCTAACTATGAGAGAATAAATTCCTGTTTGTTGAGCCATTGACTTATATTTCTGTTATAGCACCACTAGAGAACAAAGACAATATTTTTAAGAAATATTCATGTAATTATATATGGATATTTTCTAACTCATTTACAATCATTTAAATAGCTGTTCTTAATGTTTTCCCTGCTGGAATGGAATAGGTAGCAAAAGTAGGTCTATTTAAGAATTTCTACCATTTCAACTTGCTATCACTTAATATTTCGTAGTACTTTTCTTCCTGTCAGCACCTTTTGGGCAGACTTCTCTGTGATATTTTTTTCAACAGATACATGAGCTAAACATGAGTTGACAGCACACAACGATAACAACAAACATTCACATGAAGATAAATGCCTGATACACTAACCTGGGTACTAAAATATTCTCTCTGGTCTCATGTCCATGTTAGATTTCTTATCATGGCTTTGAATTTGGCATTCTATTAATTCAAATAGCTGTGGCTACACTGAAAGACATAGTCACATTTGGCAGAGAAAGTAGCAGGACTACTTTTTATTTGACTACTTGGCTATGATTTCTGTGGTTAGCTAAATATCAGACACATCTTCATGGGAAATTCTGTTCAAGATAGATGTTTTTGGATCATAATCTTATCACTGATAAAACCAGTTGCCCTTGAGTTGACCATGACTCGTGGTGATCCCACTTGTCCTCCATAGGGTTTTCAATGGCTGATTTTTCCAGAAATAGATTGCCAAGCCTTTCTTCCAAGGCACCTCTGGGTAAACTCAAGCTTCCAACTTTTAGGTTAGCAGCTGAGCATGTTAACTATTTGCAATACCCAGGGACTTCTCTCATTTGACCAAAATAAGCATTTTGGGTTTGGTGTTGTGCAGTTGCAGTAAGATCTTCTAGGAGCTACCTTTCTAGAAACAGTGAATGAGCTCAGAGCAGGTTCTCTTATTCTGGAGCTTGTGGACTCTCTAGGGGATCCTTGGGTGGACTTCAGGGCATCTGTGAACCCCTGAAAATGTACATAATATGTATATGTTTACATGCATTTTTTTTTCTGGGAAGTAGGTCCATGAGTTTCATTAGATTCTCAAAATGATCCAAAACCAGTTGATGCTGCATCACAAAGCAAAATGTTGAATGCACAATGAATCTGTTTTGTAAAATTTCACCTGGATCACAATTAAAAAGTTAAAAAAAAAAAAAAAAACCAACTCTAGTTGGTGCTAAAGGTAAAATTCAGACTCAGCATGTGGCAAGTGGGAGATATAACCTAGCTATCTCATGCTGACAGATGAGAATGAGACAGAGGAAGTGAAGGCAAGTAAAAATCACCAATAACAACATCAGCCTTGCCCTTTGCCATACCTTCCACCTTAGTCTCATAATTCACAAATGAGAAATATGTATAGTTTCTCTTCTCCTGTCTAGTCCAGACAGGCATAGCAAGGAGATGGACAGTAATCAAAGACAACTGTGAGGAGAAAGGGAACTCCATTTGGTCCATTGATTGGATGGTCAACCCCATGGACAGTGGAAAATTACCTTGCCCTTAGGACTCTTCTGGTTGGCAGGGTACATGAAGATCCCTCCATAGACCAGGGTGCGGTGCACGTCGGCCACCATGGAGCCCACATACCTGGCCCCGTAGGGAGCACTGCCATCCTAGAACACAGAGAGGGAAGAGACAAGGTCCAGTGGGCTTGGCAATCAAATCTGGGTCATAAGTCCAGTTGGTACAGCTTCTGCCTTCCCTGCCCTCTACCCTCTACCCACTAGCTTAGCAATTAAAACATTATATAGCTGAGCATTTCACTCATTAAAAATCCCCAAACATAAACAATAATTAAACAAATTAAATATAGTATGACTTAGAGTAAGAAACAATATCCTTTTAAGAGTTAAGAGAGCAGCTAACCAAAATAAGGTATATACAAACAATTGTTTGGTATCCCCTTGTAACTTATTCTTGGATTCATAGTACTTTTCAACTTTATGAGAACCAAATCTCCTTGAACAATGACAAAATTTGCACTTTCTGCAAGCACTGTTTATCCACCAACAAAATTTGGATGGCTTTAGAAATCATTCCAAGAAGTAGGACAACTTATTTGTCAACCTCAATTCCATTTGTCATGTGATGAAAATATTTGTTCAGGGAGAAATCAGGCAAGGGTCATGATTGCAAAGTAGGTCATATCAGGTAAGACACAGGATATGTCAAATTTCTCCTTTAGGCAGGTTTGCTTTTCCCTGATTCAGTGACCAGTCTGTAATCTATTTGTCAAATCTAATTATTCTCTGATAATGAAAGTGAAGACAGGAAGTTTCTCAATGCAACCATCCAATGTTCTGTCTCTAACAAAGTTTGAGATTAACTCAGCACGGTATAAATGATGAGTAATGACAAGCTAAGACAAGCGTGAGAATAAGTACTTTGTTTGGCAAAAGGACTTTATAGAATAGCCTAAAGACTTAAATTCAAACTACAATGATTCAAGAGTCAAGACCAATAAAATCAGTGGTAGCTAGTCTCTGGAGGTGTTTTCTTTAGAAATTTTGAGTTGTTTTGTTTTAATTATTTACCAACATTCAAAAGTTGAGTAATTTTTCATAAATGTCAAAGTTAAACGAACAGGCAATTTGAATCTATGTGTACACGGAAAGGGCTCTCTGTTAGAATGTTCTCAAATTTTCCAGGCTACCGTGGGGCTCTGGTAGCATAGTGCCTAAAGCACTTGACTGCTCACCAGAAAGCTGGCGGTTCAAACCCACCAGCCACTCCTCGGAAGGAAGGTTGGGCATTCCTACTTCCGTAGTGATACTGCCTCGGACACCCAAGGAGGGGTCGCTATGAGTTGGGGCTGACTTGATGGCAAACAACAACAACAACAACAACAACCATGGGGCTTATCCAGCCCTGGAGGCATGAGGTTGGCCACATTTGAATCAACTACTCCCTACCACGTATCCTGATTGGGGGCGGGGGAGGAAAGAGCAATGACTATTAAAGCTTTCCAAAGAAAGAAGGAAGACTGACAAGAGAAAATCACCCAGCAAGAGACTAAAGAATATCAATGAAAGGCAAAATCAAAGCAGACTCTAGATGTTTTTGAACCCTGAATATGATTATATAAACAAAACAATGGATTACAAAATCTGTCTGCTATGGATTGAATTAGGTCTCCCCCAAACAGATGTTGAATTCCTGGCCCTTCTATGTGTGGATGTAATTCCACTTGGAAATAGAGCTTTTCTTTTAATGAGGCCACTCCAGCTTAGAGTGGATCCTAAACTTCATCATTTCTGAATTCTAAAAAGGCCAGAATAGACACAGATACACACACAGGGAAAGGCAGATGCCATCTGGCGATCATTTACAAGCCAGGGAACAGCAAGGAACTAAGGAACACCTGGAGTTACTGACAAGAAAGGAATCAACTTCGCCAAAAACTTGACTTGGACTTTTAGTCTCCAGACCTGGGACAATAAATTTCTATTCTTTAAAGCCACTCACTTGTGGTATTTCTGTTACAGCAGCAGCAGGTAACTGAGACTCACATGAATAGACAAATCAGTGAATCAGAATAGAAAGTCTAGAAGCACACAAATGCATGTGGGAATTTTGTTCATTATAAAGGAGAGATCAGTACCTATACCAATATCAATATCAATGGAGTAAGGATGAACTACTCTCAAATTTTAACATCCTCTCTCCTTAATATTCTCTCTTTATTTTGCCTTCTTCCTTTGGCCTAGAAAGACATTTAACTCTCTTCTATTAAAAACAAGCAAACAACCCTCTCTTCCTTCCTGTATCATCTCTAATTAAACCACTTTCTTTCTTCTACATTGCAGACAAATTCTCTTAAAAGAATAATTTCACAGTCTCTACTTCTCTTTTTTTAAAAAAGATAATATTAAAAAATCTATTTTTTTAATTTTTAATCTTTGGGTAAGACAATTTACAGCAATACAAGCACACATCAAAAAAGAAAGAGCCAAAATCAACACTTTAATCTTTAGGTAAGAGAATATAGCAGACTATGCATTTAATACCTTTTTGAAATATAAGAAGAAACAGGTAGTTATTAGTAGTGATTTTATTTATGATGGAACTACAGGGATATTTACAGTCTAAGCCTGCACTGTTCAATATGGTAACCACCAGCTACACGTGGCTATTGAGCACTTGACATGTAGCTAGTCCAAACTGAGATGTGTTGTGAATATAAAAAATACATGAAATTTTGAAGACTTAGTAGAAAGAGAAATGAAGTCTTAATACATGCTACAATGTGGATGAACCTTGAAAACATTATGCTGAATGAAATAAGTCAGTCACAAAAGAACAAATACTGTGTGATCCCATTTACATGAAATAGGCAAATGTATAGAGAGACCAGAACTTATTAGTGGCTGTTATGGATTGAATTGTGTCCCCCAAAAATAGGTGTTACATGTGGTTCTTCTGCTTTCTTTCGCAGTAAAATGATTTGGTCACTGAGTTTACAATCTGAAGGCAGACACTCTTTTTAACCACCAAGCCCATAGTGATATCTCCTTACAAGTCTCAACAGCCCTCAATCTTCTAACTGTGATTTGACCTATTCACATACTGAGTTTCTAGGTACATGTTCATGGCTATGGATTTTATCCATAGTAAGAGTACAGCCATTGTCAGAGTGTGCCTTATTCATTCATTCATTCAGTAGTAAATGGGCTTCCACTTGGCCAGGCACTGTTCTAGATGCCAAAGAACAAAATATCTACACTCATATAGCTTACATGCAAGTAGAGGAAACAATTTACCGATAAATTAATAATTAATATAATAAAAAATAGCATCCCAGATGGAGAAAAGGGCTCTGGAGAAGACTACCAAAAACAACAACAAAAGCTCATTGCCGTCAAATCAATTTCGACTTCTAGTGACCCTATAGGACACAGACAGGGTAAAACTCCCCCACGGGGCACTAAGACTGCCACATAGAACATAAACCAGGAGGCTGTCGTTCAAACAGAACAAGGGGACACTGCATGGTTTAAAATCAAGAAGGGAGCGTGTCAGGGTTGTATCCTTTCACCGTATTTATTCAATCTATATGCTGACCAAATAATCCAAGAAGCTGGACTATATGAAGAAGAATGCGGCATCAGGATTGGAGGAAGAATCATTAACAACCTGCGATACACTGACAACACAACTTTGCTTGCTGAAAGTGAGGATGACTTGAAGCACTTACTGATGAAGACTGAAGAATACAGTCTGCAGCATGGATTACACCTCGATGTAAAGAAAATTAAAATCCTCACAACTGGACCAATGAGCAGCATCACAATAAATGGAGAAAAAAAATTTAAAGTTGTCAAAGACTTCACATTGCTTGGTTCTATAATCAATGCCAATGGAACCAGCAATCAGGACATCAGACGACATATGGCACTGGACAAGTCAGCTGCAAAAGACCTCTTTCAAGTGCTGAGGAACAAAGATGTCTCCTTGAGGTACGGTGCACCTGACACAAGCCATGATATTTTCAATTGCCTCATATGCGTGTGAGAGCTGGACAATGTGAGAGCTGGAAGACAGAAGAATTGATGCTTTTGAGATGTGGTGCTAGCAAAGAATGCTGAAACTGCTGTGGACTGCTAAAAGAACTAACAAATCTGTCCTGGAGGAAGTGCAGCTGGAAAGCTCCTTGGATGCGAAAATGGCCAGACTTTGTCTCACCTACTTTGGTCAGGTTATTGGTTGTTGTTGTTAGATGCTGTCGAGTCGTTTCTGACTCATAGTGACCCCATGCACAGCAGAATGAAACACTGCCTGATCCTGCACCAGCTCCATGATCCTTGCTATACTTGAGCCCATCACCGCAGCCACCATGTCAATCCATC